GCTGCACCCAGCCTATCTTTTATTTTAATTTTTATATATTTATTTATTTTTGAGATGGAGTCCCACTCTTGTCACCCAGGCTGGAGTGCAGTGGCACGATCTCAGCTCACTGCAACCTCTGCCTCCCAGGTTCAAGTGATTCTCCCGCCTCAATCTCCCAAGTAGCTGGGATTACAGGCAAGCGCCATCAAACCTGGCTAATTTTTGTATTTTTTGGTAGAGATGGGGTTTCACCATGTTGACCAGGCTGGTCTCGAACTCCTGACCTCAGGTGATCCACTTGCCTTGGCCTCCAAAAATGCTGGGATTACAGGTGTGAGCCACCACGCCCATTTTTAAAATTAATTAATTAATTATTATTATTTTTAGAGACAGGATCTTGCTCTGTCACCCAAGCAGTGGCACCATCGTAGTTCACTTCAGCCTTGAATGCCAGGGCTCAAATGATCCTCCTGCCTTAGCCTCTCACATAGCTGGTCCTACAGGCCCACATTGCCATATCCAGCTATTAAAAAAAAATTTTTTTTTTTGTCTCACTATGTTGCCCCAGCTGGTCTCCAACTCCTGGGCTCAAGCTGTCCTCCCGCCTTGGCCGCCCCAATTGTTGGGATTACGGGCATGAGCCACTGCACCTGGCCTTGCTGTAGCTCTACCACGCCATAAGCGGCTTCCCTTAGGAGAGGTATCCTGGTGCACTGTAAAACCCGGACCTCACTTCCATGCTGTTTCTCACTTTGCCCTCTGCTGACCGTAATGCTACTAGGAACCCCTCAAGCCATGAGGTCTGGCCCCCTTGAAGGTCTGAACTCCATATCCTTTCCCTACTATTCTAGAGTTCTCTTCCTCATGACCAAGAGTGGCTACCAGCCTCCCCGAATGAAGGAAAAAGGCAAATGGTATGAGAGAGTGACAGGAGGGAGGGTGAGCGAGGGCGGGGTTGGGGCTGGGTGGCCTGATGGGAGGGTCTCTGGTCCCCTCACCCAGAACCTGGCTTCTTCTTCCCAAGGTCCGCTGCCTTCCACAACTTCATCAAAGTCACCCTGACTAAGAGCCCCAAGAAACGACCCAGCGCCACCAAGATGCTCAGTGTAACCCTCCCTTCCCCAAGACCCTCAGCCCAGAATTCCCCGGGGCCTTCCACAACTCCCGAGGACATGGATAACTTCGTTCCATGGAGTCCCCGTGGCCTTCCAAAGTCCCTAATGCCTCAGAATTTCCCAGGACCACCGTCCACCACTAGAGACCCTCTGGGCTATACCCCAAACCTTTCCCAAATCCCCTGAGTTGCCAGAACTCACAAATTCCCAAAGGACTCAAGACTTGTTCCTGAGTGTCCTCTTGAATCCCCAGGGAACCACAGTCTCTTCCAAGACAACTGTGGAATTCTCCCAGCCCTGCTCTGAGAAATGTAAATTCTAATTCCTAAAAATTTCTTAGACTCCCCAGGCTGGCTGGGCACGGTGGCTCATGCCTGTAATCCCAGCACTTTGGGAGGCTGAGGCAGGCAGATCACTTGAAGTCAGGAGTTTGAGACCAGCCTGGCCAACATGGTGAAACCCCGTCTCTACTAAAAACACAAAAATTAGCCAAGCGTAGTGGCGCGCACCTGTAATTGCAGCTGCTTGGGAGGCTGAGGTGGGAGAATCACTTAAACCCAGGAGGCGGAGGCTACAGTGAGCCAGGATTGCGCCACTGCACTCTAGCCTGAGTGACAGGGAGAGACCCTGTCTCAAAAAAAAA